CAGTCAGGTACGCCACCCTTGGATGGGGACGTCCTTGGCATCGGGTACGTCTGGCGGGCCTTGTGTTTTGGGAGTGGTGTTGGAGTGGCGAGCGAGGTGTCTTGAGCTCGGGTTGGAATGCTTCGAGCTGCCATGGGTTAGCTCGGGTCAGCTTCGTGAGGCTTGGGGCCCAGTACAGTTCGCGCTCCTCGCAGGGAGCTCGGGTTCTCAGGAGGGAGCTCGCTCTTATCAGGGAGCTCGGGCTCCTAGTAGGGAGCTTGGACTTGGCTCAGGTTCTTTAGGGAGTTCGGGTCCTTTAGCTTGGGTTCTTTAGGGAGCTCGGGTTTTAGGGAGTTCGGGTCCTTTAGGTCGGGTTTTTTAGGGAGCTCGGGTTTTAGGGAGCTGGGACCTTTAACAGGGAGTTCGCTTTTAACAAGGAGCTCGGACTAAACATAGCGATCTGGAGTTGGGGTTCGGTAGTGAGTTTTGACTTGCTTCCGATGTTCGCTTTGGGTGCTCTATTGTCCCGAGCTGCTTGCCTTTGCCACGCGTCGGGCGAACGCGAGGTCGGGCCAAATTTTCCTTCTTCACCCACCACTAATCTACTTTGCTATACAACTTTCAAAAACTAATTCTCCTTACTCTTCTTAGACGAATGTAAAAAGATTGAAGTGAAGAAATTAATGCATTATATCAACATTTTTTATTTGGAAAGTTGACTAAAGGAAGGTATTTGCACATTTTTTCAAAACAATAGGGGAGGTTTTTGTTAAGGTCAAAACATTGGGGAGTTTCATAGGATTGTTATAAAACCTAAGGAGTTTTTTATAAATTTTCTTATTTTTATTAAATTTGAAATTATTAAAAATTGAATTTGTTTAAGTATATTAGTTTTTATTAAATTTAAATTCCTTATGAAATTTAATTAACTATGTAAAAATTTATTTTATTGGAACTTAAGCTGGATTTAAATTAATAAAATTAAATTATAAAATTAATAATTGTTAGATAATTTTGTATTAGTTTTATATTACTTTTAAATTGACATTTGTTTTTAATTTATCTTATTTCCTTTTATTAATGAAATTATTTTTGTTATATTAATAAATTTTTTTATCAATAATAATTATTTTTGTTTTATTTAAGTAACTTACTAAATTATTCTTATGATGGTTAATTAATTTTTATTATTTTCAAATGGAATATAAATGTATTATAATTTTAAATGGAAGTATATTATTTAGCACAATAATATATCCTTGAACTTCTCAAATTCAATGTAATTAATCTTTACTATATATATATATATATATATATATATGAGTTATTGAAGGAGGTAGTTAATGGCGTAATTAATGAGGAGAGATTATTAAAAGAATTAATGAGAGAGAGAAAGAGACAATTATGTTTTAATGAGGAGTGCTAAAACTCTTGAAGGTGATTGATCATTTGAGTTATTTTGTTCAATTTTAAAATTAAAAAATAAAAAAAAACAGAAAAAAAAGATAAATGCCTTTGAGAAGAAACCATAAAAGAAATAAGTGACTTTAAAAATAAACCGTAGAGTATGAAAGTGCTAGCTTGGCACATTGCATTTTAATATATAGATATTGATTTCCATTTTTTCAGTCGCATTGCGACCAAACAGACCATATAAAAGAATAAGAAAGGAAAAATATTTATTACCTTAGCAAATATATACTTGGGTTTTTACAAGTTCCACAAGCTCCACCTTTAAAGCTTTTTGTAGATTGCATGTAGATGAACCGTGTTAGCTACTTACGTTGTTAGGTTTTTCATCCATGTTAGGGTTTTGTTGGGTCGAAAAGGGAAGGAGGGAGAGAGAAGAATATGAAAATAATGGGTTCACTTGCATTTGCATTTGGAAGTTTCTTATTGTTATTTAAAAGTTCTAAAATTTTAAAGAGATGGTATTAGGACTCACCTTGAGCATTGCTCAGGTGAGACCAAATCTGCTCCTCACACAGGGCGCCTCACACCGACCTCACAGACATATTCCACCATGCAGTGGGAACATCTCCCGTACTTACACCTTATTATTCATGGGAGATGTTCCCCATGCATGGTGAGATGTGTATGTGAAATTGGTGTAAGGAGCCCTGAGTGAGGAGCAGATCCCAATCCTGATCAGGTCGCATGCATCTCTACCAAAAATTAACTTTAGTTGAGGGTTTGGCATCATATTGAGAAAAAAACCTTGGGCTTCGTTTGAATTAGCTTTTGCCTTTAAGCTTTGGGCTTGTGGGAAGGTAAAGATTTAAGACTTATTTTCCTATTTTAACAAAAACAAATTAAAAAAAAAAAGTGTTGAGCCAAGTATTTGGTAAGACTTGAGAGTTGATTTTACGAAATAACAATTTAAAGCTAGAACACTTATATAAGCCCCAAAGCACAAAACCTGAAATTGGGGCTTTGTGCTTTTAGGCTATCCAAACGCAATTTACTAAACATTTTAAATATGTTTTTTGAACTGTTCTTGATGAGTTCAAATCAGCCCCCCACAACGTCTACACAGCACATCCTCGCCATGTATTAGGAACATCTTCCAATGGTGACATCATCATTTCTAATATTATCATCAGGAGATATTCCCAATACACAGCTGAGATGATGACATCATCATTTCTGGTATTATTATCGGGAGATGTTCTAATACACAATGAAGATGATGATGTCATCATTTCTGATATTATCATCAAGAAATATTCTCAATACAAGATGGAGATGTACTGTGGGACATTGTGGGGGGTTTATTCGGTCTTATCTTTGATCCGAACAGTCAGACCTTTCGGCAAGTCAGTGACCCATTGACTTGGACAGTTAAACCTTCGACCCATTTGACCTAGACAATGAATTTTAGCCTTTTACTTTAATGAAATTTTAACCTTTTAAAATTATAATGAACTATCTAGGCTGTGTTTAGCAGTGCAAATGATTTGAGTGTAAATGCTGACCTATTTTTGTTTCAAATTTTAGCTTATTTTGTTTGATTACAGTACAAATCAAGTAAATTAAGACATAAAACAGAATAAAGTAAAATCCAAAACAAAATTAAACCAGAATTTGCATTTTTTACACTTGCACTCCCATGCATTTGTATTAGTGTAAATAAATTTACACTGCAACCAAACACAGCCATAAAACATTGGTTTTATAAATTACAAAAACTGGGGTGTCTTGTCCGTTTTGGTTTCTATTGTAAAAGAAAAGATTTTTTTTTCCATAAAAAAGGGTAAAAGAATACAACTCATCTAATTTGTGTTTTCTGATTCTGGTGGAAGTGGAGATGCGGTATGGAAGAGGAACACTTGAGGCTCTTCAAAGTGGCTAGTATAATGATCATACGTTACACCAGTTTACCAATCTTCACATCTCTTGGTAAATTATAAATGTCAGAAAAATATAGCACATAAAAGACCACTTGACAGAACCATATGATATGGCCTACAAAGCAACCAGATTGCTACAGCCTATATTGGGGCAACGAACTTCTGCTATATCCATCCAATTCTGCACACAAATTCCAGAAATGAAACTTTGAATCCAAACGTACAAGGTACAAAAAGAAAAGACGAGGAATACAAGGGGCATGCCCCCAACACTTCATTCATTCCACGAACACATGTCGTTGGCCTTTTCTTCTATACACATATCAGGATGAGTGGTTCACTAGGCACTGGTCACTGGATATGGTGATCTGCGGGCTTGCAACTTCTTATACCTTTTGCGTCAGAAGCACATTGCCAGATCCGCTCCAGAGAAGGAAAGCTAAATCAAGATGAGCAACAGTTGCTCTTCTGAGCGACTGGCTGCCCTCGCATTTGTACTGTAGCAGCAGGTCTGTTGGCATTCATTGCTGGTTGACTTGCCATCCTATACCAATGAATAAACGTGTAACTCAGGATAGTTGAGTAACAATATTAGAATATGAAGCTATGTGCTCTCTTAATATCATTCCAAGTGGTATGACCTCAGTATCAAGCAACTTATAAGTAATAGCACGACCAGTCAATCTAAGTGAAACTTTTAGCTAGAACAAGTCCTATTGATTACTATCCCATCCAATAAAAGAGAAGGCAAAAATGTTCACATTCACTATATGCGATACTGAATTCCATATAATCACCCAGAAAATGAGAGGAATACTTGGAAGTAAAAAATAGAAATTGATAAGAACTTACCGGTTCTTTATCTCTGCAGCCATGGTCATAAATGCTTGTTCAACATTCGTGGCATTTTTGGCACTTGTTTCCAGGAATGGGATGCCGATCTCATCTGCAAATGCCTTTAGACACAACAAAATGAAAAGCATGGATTAGATCCTTATTGAGTGCAAAGAATACTTATATACAAAGTGGATTATGTCTGGCACCCAGCCACTCCTCATGCTACAAAAATAACCACCCCATCATTTTTTTTTATTACAATGTGTTTAGTTCTTCTCTGTTTGCAGTTCCCCAAAATATCAGTATTCTATTCACCCCTTGTCTAGCAACACTATATTACCTTGGCAGTTTCATAGGAAACCACTTTTTTAGCAGTCAAATCACATTTGTTTCCAACTAAAAGTTTGTTCACATTTTCGCTGGCATATTGATCAATCTCATTCAACCACTGCTTAACATTGTTGAAGCTTTCTTGGTCGGTAACATCATAGACAATCTGGCAAACAAGGGCAAAGCATGCTCTTTAATACTTATTGATCAAGAGAAGGTGAAAAGCTACCCCAGTAAAAAGCACATTAACTTACAATTATGCCATGTGCACCACGGTAATAGCTGCTTGTAATTGTTCGGAAACGCTCTTGGCCAGCTGTATCCCACTAATAAGCCAGAAGAAATGGAGACATCAAGGGACGAAGCTCGGTGCATCACTTAAAGAGTTCGGAAACAAACACTAGTTGGATACTTACAATCTGGAGTTTTATAGTCTTTCCATCCTGCTCCACTGTGCGTATTTTCTAAAGAAAGAAAATCTTAAGATTATAACAGAAATAATATGGAAATTAAAATTTTGAAAGATGTCATTATACTTACAAAATCAACGCCAATGGTACTGATATAACTATCTACATACGAATCATCCTGCACATGATATACAAAGTTATCAGCAGCTTCAAAATTTAATCTATGTTAACAACCAAGAAACAAATATATCCAATCAAACACTAAGGAAATCATACACATAAACAAATAGATCCACCCAATACACAAAATCCAGGCCAAACAGGCAACAACAAACAAAAAAGATCTTACCATGCAACCCAAGACCCCATACACCAGGACCAGTACTATATTAAAAGAACTCAAGAGACCTTTTCAGCTCAAAAACCAATGGACCTCAAATGAATATGAGCACTGGCGCATGGGCTCTCCTAAGTAAATGAAGTGACCATGTTGGACACATGCCAAACTCCAACACTCCATGGATTCCTAATGGAGACATCATCATAACATTTTCTTTGGTCTACTTGATTATTTGATATTTGACATAAATGAATAGCATAATATACACAATGGATGCCGTTTTTTATCTAGAAACCATTATTAACAAAGATATTATCATAGATCTTTTTTATAGGTTTATGACATCAGAATTCAAAAAAAAAAGGTGGACTATTTCAATAGTTTATACTTTCCATAGACGTATCCTTGAGCCCTAGTTTTTTCTTCTTGTTGAGTCAGACTTCTGGACATGCATTGGATTCTGATTCATGTCCATGTCCATGCAACAGTGCACAAAAGGACCACAAAACCCAGTGGGACCAATAGCATGTGTTATGGATGCATTCGTGGGAAAGACTTACCGCCGCCGGCAGCAGCAATAAGGAGGGGCCCACACGACAGCTCATCAGGGGTCCACACTTATCTTGCCACGACAGCTCTCCTTGCCAACTCGCCACCTGCTTACCTTATCCCCTATCCCATCTATCCTTATCTTCTGTTCTTAATAGGAGTTTTGTTACCATTAGAAGTAGGAGTTTGATTTAAAGTTGGATTATCCTAGCCTAGTCGAATACAATAAGGACTTACCTCTTGTAATCTCCTATTTAAGGAGCTGAGAATTGGAATAAAGTCATTCAGTTTCCAGTTAAGAGAAGAGTGAGGAGAGTTCGGGTGGTCTCTTGGACAAATCACCCATTAGGTTGCCACAATAGGGTCTGCACGCAAGGGTAGGCACAAGGGGAAGCAAGAGGTTCTCCCCGTGGACCGACCCGTGACGAGATCCTACGCCCGGGCCCATAACATTCTGGTATCAGAGCCTACCGTCATGGGGGAACAGGAGCCGCTGTCATCCAGGGTCCACGAACTGGAACATAGGCTTGCAGAGACCAGCATGGAGGTTCGTGAAATCAAGGATGATGTCCGGGAACTGCGACGCCTGCTAGAAGCGTTCCTCTCCAACAAAGAAAGAAGTTCTGAGGGAACCACCACCACCAACAGTCGCCGTTCGGACTGGGCAGAGACGTCCAGCGAACAGCAGATCGCTGCGCCGACAGCCGCAGTTATTCCCAAGTATAGCCGGCTGGAATTTCCGTCTTACAACGGCACCGAAAACCTGTTAGGATGGTTGTATCGCTGCGAACAGTTCTTCCGTAATCAGCGCACTGATGACAAAGACAAGGTCAGTCTGGCCGCCTTCCACCTATCGGAAGAGGCACCGCTCTGGTTCTACCGTCTGGAGCAGGAAGAACCCGAGCTCAGTTGGGGGCAATTTAAATCCTATTGCCTCCTCCGGTTTGGACCCCCATTGACAAGCAACCCGCTGGACGAGTTAATCAACCTCAAGCAAACTGGAACAGTGGCAGAATACCAACGTCAGTTCCAAACCCTCCTCGCCAGAGCAACCTCAGTTCGAGCAGACCAGCAAGTCGATATGTTTACAGTAGGGTTAGTAGAACCCCTACGAGTGGACGTAGAGATGCAACACCCTCCTAACCTGGTCACAGCAATGAACCTCGCCCGCGCCTTCGAACGGAAGATGCAGCTCTCCCACGGAAACCTCAGTATAGGTCGGCCGACAACGACCTGGGCACCTTCGAAGACAGCAGGAGTGTCTCATTCTTCGACTGCCAGCAGGGAACAGTGGCCCCCTGCCGGTAACCCTTCCAGATCGGCATCAAGTATAGGGAGTAGCAGGACAACACCCCCCATTAGACGGCTGTCCCGAGCCGAGATGGCAGAACGGCGCGCAAGAGGGCAGTGCTTCAATTGCGACGATCTATACTCCTCTGGGCACAGGTGCAAGAAACTATTCTGTCTGCTAGTAGATGAACCCGAAGGAGACGAGGATGAACCTGCAGCATCTGAACCAGAGATCTCCCTCCATGCCATCACAGGGATCAAAACATCACAAACCATGCAACTAAGGGCACTGGTAGCAGGGCAACCAGTTCGCATTCTCGTAGACTCCGGAAGCACCCACAACTTCGTCAGTGAACAGGCTGCCTGTCAGTTAGCGTTACCGATGGAAATCAGGCTGCAGTTACAGGTAGCCGTGGCCAACGGGGAAAGAGTTCACAGCCCCGGTATCTGCAAGGACATCGAGATTCAAGTCGGATCAGAATTCTTCCATGCTGATTTATTCGTACTCTCCTTGGAAGAATTCAACATCGTCCTAGGAGTCAAGTGACTAATCACTCTAGGGCCCATCCTATGGGATTTCAGTGCCCTGACAATGACTTTCCACCTGGATGGGAAACCGGTTACATGGCAGGGAACCAGAATAAGAACAAAAACACAACTACTACACTCCAAGGTGAGAACTCGCGCGCAACAGATATGGAGAGGCTCCTCACGGATTTCTCTATAGTATTCAAAGAACCCAAGGGGCTCCCACCTTCTAGAGCCTGCGATCATCGGATCCCTTTGATAGCCGGATCGGATCCCGTCGTCGTCTGACCCTATCGCTACCCACACCGACAGAAGGATGAAATAGAAAGACAGTGCGCGGACATGTTATAGCAGGGGATCATCCATCCGAGCCGCTCCCCCTTCTCATCTCCGGTTTTGTTAGTACCCAAGCAAGATGGGACTTGGAGATTTTGTGTGGACTACAGAGAACTTAACAGCCGGACAGTCAAGGATAAATTTCCTATTCCCATCTAGATGAGCTATTGGACGAGCTCCATGGCGCACAGTACTTCTCAAAATTAGACCTCCGGTCGGGTTACTTCCAGGTCCGAATGACTCCTGAAGATGTAGAGAAAACGGCCTTCAGAACACACCAAGGCCATTTTGAATTCTTGGTTATGCCATTCGGCCTCAGCAACGCTCCCTCCATGTTCCAGGCCCTGATGAACGAGGTGTTCCACTCCCACCTCCGCAAATTCGTCTTGGTATTCTTTGACGACATCCTAGTCTATAGCAAGTCGTGGGTGGAACACATGCAGCATCTACGGGTCGTTCTTGAACTCCTGCAGCAACACCAACTCGTCCTTAAGCGATCCAAATGCTCCYTTGGGGAACGTCGGGTCCTTTACTTAGGACATGTGATCAACGGGCAAGGGGTCACTATGGATGACTCCAAGATTCAGGCGATCAAAGAATGGCCCAGACCACAATCCGCCAAGGCTCTCCGCGGGTTCCAAGGGCTGACAGGTTACTACCGCAAGTTCGTACAAAATTATGGACTTTTGGCGGCCCCACTAACCAATCTGCTCAAGAAAAATGCCTTCCACTGGGATAGTACAACTGAGGAGGCCTTTGTAAATTTAAGAGAAGTCCTCTCCTCCACGCCGGTTCTACAGTTACCAAACTTTGACCTCGAGTTTACAGTAGAATGCGATGCATTCGGCACCGGCATCGGCGCCATACTACAGCAGCAAGGGCATCCGGTAGACTTCTTCAGCCGCAAACTGGCCGACCGCCACCTTAAGTTACCCGCCTATGAACGTGAACTGATTGGGCTGGCAAAGGCAGTGCAGCACTGGAGGCCGTACCTATGGGGAAGGTCCTTCGTGGTCAAGACGGACCACTACAGCCTCAAATATTTGTTGGAACAACGGCTTACCACCTCGCCACAACAGCATTGGGTCAGCAAACTTCTTGGCTTCGATTTTCGGGTGGACTACAAGGCGAGAACCTTGAACCGTGCCGCAGATGCCTTGTCTCGCCGAGAGGAAGACAATATGCTCCTCCCTGCGATCTCACAGCCCTGAGCCACCCTACTGGAGGACATTCAGAACTTACTGCCACAATCACCAGAGTGGAACGATCTTGTCTAGTGAATACAAGCCGGAACGACCAACCCAAACTGGTCCATGCACGACGGGTTGGCACTATACAAGGGACGGATTTATCTCCCAACCGACTGTCTCTTAATCCCCTCCGTCATCTCCAGCATACACAACTCTACGCATGAGGGTGTACAGAAGACTTTGCACCGCATCCACGCTGATTTCCACTGGCAGGGCATGAAGGCTGCGGTGCGGGACTTCATTCAGAACTGCACTATGTGCCAACAACAAAAGTGGGAAAACTTGCACCCAGTTGGCCTTCTCCAACCACTTTCACTTCCAACTCAGATCTGGGCAGATATTTCCATGGACTTCATCGAGGGCCTACCCAAGGTTGGCGAAAAGTCGGTCTTATTTGTGTTAGTGAACCGTTTTTCCAAATATGCTCATTTCCTTCCCTTATTCCACCCTTACAACGTGGTTTCAGTGGCCCACACCTTCTTCACCCACATCTTCCGATTGCATGGGCTACCCGAATCCATCGTAAGTGACAGAGACCCGACCGTTACTAGCACCTATTCCGACTGTGGGGAACAGCCTTGGCCTTCTCCTTCGCCTACCATCCGCAGACTGACGGCCAAACGGAGGTGGTAAACCAAACAATAGAGATGTACCTCCGCTGTTTTGTGGGAGACCAGCCTCGGCACTGGGTGGAGTACCTTCCGTGGGCCGAATACTGTTACAACACGTCTTATCACTCCTCTCTTGGCATGACTCCCTTCCGGGTCATTTATGGTCGGGACCCTCCCCGTCTATTGTCTTACGAACCCGGTTCAACACGATTGGAAGAAGTTGATCGCAGCCTACAAGATCGCGACACCCTCCTGGCCGAAGTCTCCCAACGCTTATAGCAGGCTCAGGCACGCATGAAGAACGCCTGCGATCGGCGCCACCGAGAGTTAACCTTCGAGCCAGGATAGTTCGTTTGGCTGAAGCTCCACCCCTATCGGTAGCTCTCCCTCAGACGCAGAGCCTTCCCTAAACTGGCCCCCAAGTTCTACGGGCCCTTCAAGATCTTGCGACAGATCGAGAAGGTCGCATATCAGCTCGAGCTACCAGAACACAGCAGACTACATGATACCTTCCACGTGTCCTTCCTGAAGCCTTTTACAGGACTCCTCCTGATCAAGTACCTTCCCTACCCCCCTTGAAGGACAACAGACCCATTCTCCAACCTCGGGCACTTGTCCGGTCTCGCGTCAATCGGGGTACCTTAAAAGTCCTCGTGGAGTGGGACAGACTACCATCAGCTGAGGCCACCTGGATTCCCTGGGTTGATCTTCACAACGCCTATCCAGATCTCGAGCTTGGGGACAAGCTCGTTGCCCAGGAGGGGTGTGATGTTATGGATGCATTCGTGGGAAAGACTTATCGCCGCCGACAGCAGCAATAAGGAGGGGCCCACACAACAGCTCATCAGGGGTCCACACTTATCTTGCCACGACAGCTCTCCTTGCCAACTTGCCACCTGCTTACCTTATCCCTTATCCCATCTATCCTTATCTTATCTTTTGTTCTTAGTAGGAGTTTTGTTACCATTAGAAGTAGGAGTTTGATTTAAGGAGCTGAGAATTGGAATAAAGTCATTCAGTTTCCAGTTAAGAGAAGAGTGAGGAGAGTTCGGGTGGTCTCTTGGACAAATCACCCATTCGGTTGCCACAATAGGGTCTGCACGCAAGGGAAGGCGCAAGGGGAAGCAAGAGGTTCTCCCCGTGGACCGACCCGTGACGAGATCCTACGCCCGGGCCCATAACAGCATGGCTCTGCCGCCGAGATTCCCCAATGAGAACAACAAAACCAGAAAACAAAAGAACTTCCTTTCAATCCTATTTACCAACTTTCTTTCAATCCCAGACAATTTCACAAATGACTGAAGATCAATTATAATGTTATTGTTTTTGTATATCATTGTGAAAATAATAATGATACTTTTTTATTAATACTTGATACAGTATTTCTTGTACAGCAGAGGGTGTCTTGCCCTCCCTTTTCAGTCCCATACCATTAATACAATACTTTTTGCCAGCTTATCAAAAAAAAAAACACTTTGCCTCATTTCTTTTCGCTTTCTTCCAATATTGCTGACCAGCCTCCCTCCCCCATCCTTTGTGTGTGTATATGAGAGAGAAACAAGGGGTGGGGGTACCACAGGAAAGGGTCCCTTCTGATGGTTTTGCAAGGAAAAGGGTAAGCAAATTAGCAAAAGGATGAATGAAGCCTTACCGCAAACTGCAATAGAAGGCATGACTTGCCAACACCAGAATCTCCAATAAGCAGAAGCTTGAAAAGATAGTCACTGCAAAACATCCTTTCATAAGAACTTCCTTCTATACTTGAATTTACACCCAGGATAGACATTAGAAACAAATTTGAGGTACAACTACAATATTACATATATAACCATGCACATACTGACCAAAAAAAGATAGAAATTAAAATGATTTTGTCAAGAAGCACTGGCAAGAGACTCTGTGGAACTACTATTTAGTAGCTTCAACAAAGTTCAGACTAACAATACCAATGGAACAGTCATGGACCAGATGAACTACTCGAAATCAACAGATCAAATATTGAGATGATGGAGATCAGGAAAGGACATGATGGAGCTCCATACAATCAACAGAGTGGATCCATTTGAGAGGCATTGATTTGAGATGCGAATCAGTTGATTAAAGATGAAATCTGCATATCAGACTTTTGTGGATATAGATCTAAACTGGGTTGTAAAAGATCTGCAATCTTACCAGACTGGTGGCTGCCACTTTCAACATCTCAATTTTTTTTTTTTTTTTGTTTATAGCTCTTTTGTTTTCTTTTTACCTTATTAGTACGGTGGCAGGTCATCAAACTAGGTTTCCTATCTTTTAGCTCATAAAAAGGGCGTATTGGACCCTCTTGTGTTGTTTGCCAGCATCCAGAAGAAAAAAAATCACACCACAATTTAAAGGAGATTTAGTTAAATAGGAATAGCTAAAATAATCTCTCACGAGTGCAACCATTATCTTTGGAATATTCTGGCAAGCACAATATTTGTAAAAGATCAAAATTATCCATTTTTCCTCCCCAAATGTATCCTATGGCCCCCAGCAATTCCAAAGATAATGTTTTATCAGTTCTACATAAAAATTCTTTATTGTCTACATCAGGCTTTACAAGTATCCTTTCCTAGAAATATTTTACAGTCCATTTTGCATAATATCTCCTTCAGCAATTTAAGCAAGCATTTGCAAGATGATAGAGATTAAGCAGGCAACATCAATTGGGGTAGTTGTGAAAACAATGAAGGATAACAAACATGAAGGTATTGATATCTTGTGCTTCGTTGTACAGTATATAAAAAATATAGGAAAAAGTTCTCAATAGATCATATCCCATAACTTAATTGCCAAGGAACTTGCATCCACATATATGCCACGAGATGCAACTATGAAAGCTACCCAAACACCGTTGATAACCTATCAATGCTTTGAGGTTTTTCAAACTAATGACTTAGGTTTTTCAGGCTAATGGCCTTTTCCCAAAATCTATCAGATTAGGGAAGAGAGAACATTTCTTTTGAGAAATTGTGTTAACTTCTTTTCTTTCACCATATTGAATTTCAATCAGAAGTTTCACGTTTACTTTCTACGTCCAAAAATTTCATTTGGTGTTCAAACCAAAACTTTAAGTTTTACCAATAATAAGCTCCCCACTTCCTATAAATTATCACCAAAGATATTTCACCTCAGCTATCAAATCCAAATAAAAATCTAAAAATTTCCAAAACCATTTCTCCAACTGGATATACTACGAAGAAATCTACAAAACTTTCAACCACTAGATCCATATCCACGGAAGGAGATTACAAAAGAACAATATCCTTTAATCAGGTTAGATAAAATCAAAAAGAAAAAAATGAAAAATCCATAACTAAAGAAAGTAGTGCAAAACCAACACATGTACACAAATTATCAACCGATACCAGAAAACTTAAAAGAATAAATACAACCTAAAAAAAATCAGAAGCTTACTATTCGGGATTCATGGCTGAAATTTGTGAAAGATAACAGATATAACTGAACTTCAACTGATCGATCGAGCCTCCGTAGCCCTAGTTTTCGTTGGTAGAAAAACAGAATAAAAATCTACGATATTGGAGAACGGAACCAGGACGAAGGGATCCAGAGAGCTACATATAAACCATATTGGGAGAGGAATGAGGATTAGAGGAAAAGAGGTCTTGTTGAAAGTGAATGCTTCGTCACTAGAACACGAAAATTTCGTTTGTCAGCATTTTTATTCTCCGTTATCTGAATTCACATCTACGCCCCACAGCATATCCCAACCGTGTATTGGTATCATCACTCACTGACAAATTTGTAAGATATTTCCAATGCACGCTGAGATGTGCGTAGTGCGTTTGTGGAACGCAGATGTAATCTCCCGTTATCTTTCTCTCTTTTTTTTTTTTTCTCTTCTTTTTTTTTCCAGGCGGATGCTCGCTACGTCACGCTCACTGTCCGTCACGAACCTCGCAACTCATTAAAAAAGCAGGATATGGCACCACGTGGCCGCGTGTAATTGCAAAAAAGCTGTATACGTGTTGTCTTTTTGTGATCTTGAGGATCTTGCTTGTGACTCTAGCACTGCTTTTTTTCGTTGTCATATTTAACTCAATTTTGCCTTAGAAAAATAAAAAAACACGGAATTATTGTTGAGTATGTCCCTGAAAAACGCGTTTCCAGGAGATTTCCCATGACGTGATGGGATTTATTAACCAAGGAAAGAACCTCTCTACAGAAGATGCGAAGAGTACACGTAACTACGGTTGCATGGCTCATGGGAATTCTTTCTTCGTATGGTTTCCACATTGTCTATGTTTCGTTTCTACGGTTGCATTTTTTATTCCTTTTTCATGGTTTTAAAAGGTTTAAGTTTGCTTACGCCTTGAACGTTACATTTTTGCCATATGGCCTAAATCTCATAACTTCGATCAGAGGTTTAAACCTTTATGAGAAAGAGACGTAACCTCAAGCCTCTAAGCATGAGGCATACAAAATTTTTGAGCCTCAAAATTTTATAACAATTGAGTTATTTAATACTAAAAAAAAGAGATCGTTCATATATATATAAGTCTAAAACATATTGGAAGCATACTTTGATGATTATAGGCCTAATAAAAAAGATTAGAATGAAATTTAAGAGTAAATAGAGTTTTTAATTTCTCTTGTGGTTTTAAAAAGAGTTCAATGTAACAAGGGCCATAAAACCATTATCATTCCCTCCTCATTCTTGGCCAAATCAAGATAAGTTTTTTTCTTATTATTCTACGCATTTGGATGACTAGAACTAGAAGTTTAGCATCCCAAGTTTGTTATTTTTTTTTTATTTTCTCCACAAGATACCTAATTTTTGCCTCCACATTCTCTTTTTGATGTTTTTTCCCTTTTTTATTGTTTTTTCGTAGATTAAACCAATTAGGCTGGTTTCTTTGATAATTTTTTTTTTTTTTTTATAATTTAGAACATATGACATGACTGGTTATTTGAATAATTTGAGAAATTAGATTTTGAAACTTGGAATATAAAAGATCTATTTTTGTTAGTGGGTAAGTTATTAATTTTTTAAATGCTAAAAGTCTATAATTTGTTACTTATGGAGTACTTCTATTTTATGGAATGCTTGTATATTCTATTAATCTATCATAGTTTATCATATGCTCTTTTTATTAGTTGTAAACTTTATTTATATACGACCTTATTGAACTATTACGCCTAAGGATGAGCATAGGTTGATCTTGGTTCAGTTCCAATGCAAAACCTGGAACCTACCTTCTAGGGGTCAATTTCAGGTTTTGAAACCAAAGCCTACTCTTTCATTATCAATTATGGCTTTGGTGATTTCAAAGTTGGCTCTAAGGTCTACCCCATGGAACCTATTCTTTCTTTACCTAAAAAGAAAAAGCCTTTAAAAAAATCTATATCATTTAAAACCAAATTAGATAACTATATATGTTATTGAGTTTAATATTATATTATATGTTAAGTTATTTTTAATATTTTTCTTGAAATAATATTTTTCAACATTGAAAATTATAAATATGACATAATACATAATCACGGATTGAATCATTGATAATGTTAATATCAAAAATATATTATTGATTAGAAATCACTATCATGAAATGTTTAAGCTTGATTTTCAATAACAATAATAAAAATATAATTCAAATTTATCCTTATAATATAAGTTTTATAAATATTAGTTTTTACATTATTTATTGTATGCATTAAAATAATAAATTGAGAAAAATTATCAATTCAATTAAATGGCTTAATGGTCAAGTGAGACCATGGTCTTTGGGTTCAAATTTTTACATCCTCAAAGTATATTAAGGCAAGGTTGTGCTTTTAACCTTCTAAACTTGTTCCATATAACATTGTTAAATTGTAAATAGAGATGATAATGGCCAGGCCGGGAACCAGATAGGGATGGATCCATATTTGATCCAAAATCACCGAATCGAATTCGAATTTGAATTGAGACAATTCAATACTATTTTCATCCCTATTTGTTCTAATGTATATCAGTATATGCATATTATTTCTATGTGCTTGAAGTTCGTGCTCTTTTTAATTTTAAATAAGGATTTCCCAAGTAGGCAGGCAGCTGGTGGCCAAGATTCCATGGTCTAGTGGTCAGGACATTGGACTTTGAATCCAATAGCCCGAGTTCGACTCTCGGTGGGATCTTTCGTTTGAAACTCTCTTTTTCAATCCCTCACTGGAACTGGAAGAGTGGAAGGTTCCCCTTTTTGGTTTTCTACTAGATTAGAATCATACGCAAAAGTCCTCGCTATTGCCACGTGGAGTGGTGCCATACATTACCATCCTACGTAAGCCCTCATGACGTTGACTATGTGAACAGTGCCACTTTTGACTAAGTATCCAATTCCAGGTTTTCTATTTCCGGATCCATTGAACAAACCATGGAATTGGGCAATTAGATTTGGAGAATTACTTCTTCAACCAAAATTAATTTTAGGGTAAATTGCTGCAAGCCTGCAATCTCTCCTGAAGTTTGATAATTGCGATCACCTCTCTTGAAGTTTCTAACATGGCTGCAAGTAGACCCCTTTATTAAAAGCTTTTAAAAAGAGGCATAAAATGTTCAAAATGCCTATATAGTTACTTTTAACCAAAATGTTTATTTTCTAATTCTCTTCACAGGAATCCTTAGCCCAAGCCCTTTCAATTTTTTTTTTTCTGAAATTGATTTATTTTTCAAATTTGCCTTTCATGTCAATTATTCAAACATAAAATTGCAACTTTAAATTCTCTAATCAAATAGGTATTTTGGACATTTTCATACTTATTATTAGAAAATTCTAAGAAAAAGGATATACTTACAACTGTATCAAAAAGTTCAAGAGATATGAATGCAATTACCAAAATTGGAAGGGAAGTTTCAGTAACCATAAAAAACTTCAGGGGAAGTTCCAGCAATTTTCCCTTAATTTTATGGGAATGGGATCATACTGTTCTATCTTGGACTAATCAATTGGCAAATGGCACGTGACTTGGAAGGCAAGTTTAGATTATACTCTTCACTCTCCACGAAACCTCCGAGTCTGAAATCCAACCGTGTACAAAAAAACTCAACGACTTTTGAATTCTTGAACTAAGGTCAACTCTGCTATAGTGCCATCTATATATGATCATAGTCTCTTAGACCATAACCACGGTCTACAACGCAAATATCTGAATTAAAGAAATAGCTTTAATAATTTACAACTTCGTATATTAATTGTTTATGGCTTTTTGCAAGGATCCAACTCCAAGCATCTCTCCTTTGTGTACCGTAACAATGATTTATAAGATTTGGAGCATATACTGCCAAAAAAGTCGATAGCTTGACGAAACTGGAATGCCTCACGGTTGTCCAAACTGGCTTTAAAACCAAAATCGAATGCCTCACGGTTCTCTTACTTCATGGCCTTGTTGGTTAGAGAAGCTCTGCCTCTGCGCGACGGAGGCACGAAGGTGAAGCGCCGACGACTCGACCGAAGCTTCTCCTATAGGGAGATAACAATAGAATCAACGTCGTTGAAGGACGTGGATTCTGATAAATTGAAAATGGAGATAAAGAGGTGGGCTAAAGCAGTAGTTGCTTATGCGCAGGAGGTGACTAGATGTGGTTCTCATGAATAAACCAGACTATTGAAGCATATACAGCCATAATTGGGTAGTTGAAGGTTCATCAAAGCCACAGATGGTATTTTTGGTAGTCTCCTGGACCAAGAAAATCATCATTCTATGGCCGCAGCAAAATTGATGAACTATGGTAGAGGCATCACATTGTTTTTCTGGACCAAGCTTGTTGCGAGGAAATTCATTTTACACATGAAGAAAAGAACAATGCTCTCACAGCCTTCGGAGAAAAGGTCTCCCACAAGAAGGAGCTCAGATTGTGGCTGCGTAGTTCCGTGGTAAAAAAATTTGTGATTCAGCTGCTTCGACACCAGAAGGTGATTATCCTCCTCTATTGTTTATTTTGCTGTGGTTTCTCTGTTGTTTATTCTACAGTTTCCCCTACCATAAAAAAATATAGATCCCAACTAAGCATTGACAGCCATCAAAATTTACATACTGCGTTTTATGCTATGCAGCTGACCAACCCATCAAGTCTCTACATATCAATTCAGCCAGAATGAATGATTTAAAAGAGTGAATGCAAGTTTGGATCCAAGTCTCCATGACCCATGAAGAAAGACAAACCTGCCAAGCAAAGGGTTCAGAATTGAAAAGTGATTATATGGTGGGCATCATCTATATATGTTGATAGATGGATAGATATTCCTTTTTTTTATAAATATAGATATTCCTTTTTTACTATGTATAAAAAATACACAGTACAAAGAAAATGAATAATTTGCTCCTTGTATATATTGAACTGCAAACTAAAGTACATCTGTATTAGAGCCATAACTCAAATGGGAAAAAAAGAGAGAAGACTAACCTCCGCCATAATGCACCAAGCTATCGATTACTTTCCCTTTCAAAAACATGATTCATACAAAGTAGAGGCAAGCACTTAATATACATTCTATCTACTTGATAAAGACAGATGATTGATATTTGACATTTCACAATTTAGAATATAGTCTGATAGGTTTGTCGATCATTGATGAGGTTGGTTTTAAGGTATCTATACCGACTGACAAAGCCGACGAAGGAATCAAAGTTTCTCTGGGTTTTGTAGCGCTCACCCATCACTCTATTTTCTTTTCTCCGCCCGAATTACTCAAAAGTTGCTTAGAGCAAATGTCCTGTGCCTGGGTTGCATTCTTTACACGATTTGCTTTCACCCAAGCAGGTTCCTGGAAAAAAATAAATCGACATTTCATGATTTTTGGCTTCTCAAATTGTCTGCTAAAATAGTCTAATCTTTCTGGACCATCTCTAATGCACATCATAGGACATGTTGAGATGCAACAGGAAAAAGAAAAGCAGAGGATAAAAGAAAATGGACAGCCAGCCCATTTATGTACCAGCCAGGAAAAAGAAGTTCACCTCTGGAACAAAGTGAGAGAACCCAAATTGTATAAGGAGGAGGATGTGCTCCATGATGAGAATCACTGCTAGTCCTGGCTCAATTCTCCATTTGCCCTCCTGATCGAATAAATACATCAAAAGCCCACAGTTGGTGCAGATTGACATCGCTATCAGAAACTGAAATTCCAAGAAACACAATATTTTAGATAGATCTCGGAGTGTAGAAAGAAAAATGGGAACAAAGGAAGATAGGTCATGGAAACTCTGCCTTTCAGCAGAAGCATCTGCAACCACATATACCGGAATCAATGGTCTTTTCAAAATGACTAAAGAGGAAAAAAATCAAAAGATAAGTATACTTATTTTAGTATCATGGTTTAGAAATGCTTTTTCTATAACGCTTGTTCTCTAAGTTTATGTTAACACCTAAAATTTAACTCCAATTTTCGCAAAACACAGAATGCACACAAATCATTTCTTGACACTAGAATCCAGTAAGAGTTGGAGGTTTGGGAGCCCCCACCTGCTGTATGATAACAATACTTCATCAAAGTATCAAACCAAACCGTTGAAGGATGTTATGTACTACCTGAAATATATTTAGCCATGCTCCAATTGTTGCAGTCGCACGAGGAATAGGCCTCCTCAACATGACAAGCAACTTTAATGCATCTGTTCTGATAACTGAAATATTGTTCTGCACCAAGTGGTAACACACAATTCAGATTTCTTCCCTCATTGGACTCCAATGAGAACCACAGTTTACCAACAGCTTATACAATTATCGTTGCTAATATGGTTTAACTTACCAATAAAGTGAGGGAGAAAGCAAGGGGAAATGCACATGCAAACATCATGACCATTCCAAACTGCAAAGCCAACTCCAGAAAATCTGCCAAGCATTTTGTATTCTAGGTTACTTAAGAAATTTAATCGGGTCCCAAATACCAAATTGTTTTAACAACTTTGCAATTTGGCCCATTACCATCAAACAGACCATCTTCAAATTCCTCTCCAGTGCTTGCAGAGTAAGCAGGTTTCAGATACTCTTTCTCTACTCTAGAGGTCATCTGGATCTTCCCTGTTGATGATACCTTCTCGTGTTTTTTCTTGCTTTAGGAGACATAAGATGAGTCAGAAATTGTACTACAGTATTTTATTGAGAAGGTAAATCTGTTGAACAAAATGATAAAGAATGGAAGGTTGTCAAGAAACTTACTAGATGGCTCTACATTTTTTATAGCTGTATTTGAGATACGGAATAGAATTTTCCATCAGATTTTGCAATACCTGCAAGATATCTTCCCAGTTTCAAAATATAGAAAATCAGCAAAAGATGGATGAACAAAAAAATAGGCAGAGCATCAGTTACTCTTACACGAGACACAATCAGGCGTTGAATCAGAATTTGGCGAAGGGTCATGAAATTTTGGAGCAAAAGGGCATGATAGAACAAACCGATATAAGATTGCATAAAATAAAGGCCAAAAACCTGCGAGAGAATGTGTAGCTTTATTGTTATGTGCATTTTTATTGAGATACAAAAAACAACACACAACATCCCAATGCCAAATACCAAAAACCTGTGGAAGAATTTAGGCTGTCTTTGGTTTGAAAGAAAAGGTAGGGAAAGGAAGGGAAAAGTAAGGAAACCTTTACAAACCCAGTACAGGTTTTCCTTCCTTTTCTTTCAAACCAAATACAGCCTTAGAGTTTCATTTCCATTAAGATACAGCAAAAAACCAACTAGTACTCCTAATACTAAAATTTTTGCTTCACCTTGTATACCAAGCTATCAGCCCTAATTTCTGTGCTTTTATTGTTTTCATCTTTAATGAGCTTGACTGAAACTTTGCCCCCAATTTTTGTGAAGCACCGGATGGCAAAAAGATAAGCAGCTGTCAGAGCGAACCTGAAACAACAAAAATATACATGAAGATCAGGAATAGATATAAAATCCACCAACCATTTTCTACTAAATGAATAGATGCTTTTTTTAGTTTGGCAGACGGGATATATGCTGTTTCTATATATATATATATATATATATATATATACAATAAGAGCAAGAACAATAAGGGAAGAAGGAATGAAAATAAAGTGTATAAAAAAATTGTTTTTAACCAATTGATGAATTAATTTCAGTCATTTAACCTCACTTCCAATAGTCCAAGACCATGCAAAGTAATGTCCCACAGATGCCACAGAAAAACTAATAACAAATGATATTCCAGTGGTAGAGAACTGTGGGAAATAGTGGAATAAGTACATTTTTAATTAAAGGAGAAGTTGTAGGATCTAGGCTACAAACACAGACTGACATGATTCTACACTAGATATATTCCTAAGAGGACGACCAACAGCCAAGAAGAATGAGTGAGTGAGAAACAAAGAGAACTGCAATTCAGATGGCAATACGCAAGTGAGTAAAAAACAAAAAGAACTACTATTCTGAAATATGTATAAAGCCAAAATGAATTAGAGTACAGCAAGATCAGTAAAGAGTTGGTAGTTCATTCTGTCGCTTTTATCACCCAAGATTAATTCATAGTTTGTCACTTTCTTCAACAGATATTGCTTTTCCAGATGCTAAATATGGTCATTAGCTAACATACATGATGTTTAGAAAATGATTCATCAATTATAGGGCCATCAGGCCCATCACAGGCAACACAATCAAGACCTATGAGTAATAAATGCATGGCATACTCAAATGTGGAAGTGTATCTAGAAACCATACTGGTGGTTTAGAGTTTAGACTTTAGACTAGGGGTGCAAAATGTCAGACATCATTTCTGTTCTAGTAGTTAATACAAAAAAATTAATACAATGTCAAGACAATAATAATGACCATTTACAGGACAAAAAACAAAAATAACCCATATTCTTACTTCATTACATCAGATCCAAGAACTTGGTATATGTGTGCATATGCCAACTCAAACGGCAACTGGAGACAAATAATACTCAAGACAATGACAGCATCATTTCTGAATCTCAGTAGATGTCCAAACCACTCATTTCTTTGAAATGCTTCTTTTTGTTTCCTTTTATCATTACCCAACTTCTTCATAAGTTCCACATCAGATTGAAGGTCACTCTTCCCTTTGTTCAGAACATTATCACCCATTGAATGGTTCATCTGCCATCTATGCAAAATATGCAAAAGAAATGGGTATCAAGGATGAGAAAGGTGGTTATGACATCTAAAGAATAAGTTAATGTGTCAATATACCTGAATTGAAGAGCAGAGTTCTTGCGCTTCCAGAACTGGATTAGTAGTACAGCCCATGAAATAATGCTTATGAAGAAAACAGGAAGTACCCATAATTGCCATGATCTGAGGAGGATGATATCAAGCATGGAGTGTAAGCATATAACTAATGAAACTAAATCACATAGACAAAACTGCTTGAGTACCTAAATTGTCTAAAGAGATTTTAAGCGAAGCAAGGCCTACCCAAAGTCAATCAACTGCAAAGTAAGCCCACATGCAGCAGGAAAGAACATCCACTGTGTATACATTCCAAGAAAAGAAAAATATGTGGCAATCTGCATATAGAATATATTCAGTCATTGGTTGTATTGTAATGAAAAATAAGGATGAAACAATGCATCCAAAACCATATATTTGTTTCACCTTTGAGCCGAAGTATGAGTAAATCTCATCAATTGGTTGCTGTGTAAAGTCTAACCAGTTAAGTGCCCAATGTTTCAAGAGATGCTTCCTCTTTGATTCATCTATAAATCAAATATTGCCTTGGTTCACATGCCACCAAAAAATCATGGATAAGTTTCAAAGGAGATATAAGTCAGTATACCATGCAAAGGAAAGAGCTGTTTGACAATGCCTTCACATTCCAATCTTGTAAGTAGAGATTCCCCCAGTTTCCACTGAAACTCTTTGTCATTAAATCTTAGAGTTATAATTGACTCAGTCCTGTTAACCTGTGAATTTCATTTTGAATAAGCTCAGTTCTTGTGCAACAGTAGTCATCTATTGCAGAATTAGCCAGGAAGAGAAATAAGGGGAAATACTTCAACAATAGGCATGGCATTAAAAAGTTACTGGAGGAAAAAAAGGTAAGTAACATTTGTACCAAATAAATAGTTAAAGTGCGTATAATGAAATTTAGATATACCCTAAATAATGAAAAAGGATAAAAGTAAGATACCTTGTTGGTTGGATTACTAAGTAAATTGAGTTGCACAACGCTACCACAGGGAAAACACTGCTAGAAAGAAAACAACTCACAATTCCATAAATCAAGTGCTGAAAGCAACAGAACCGCTCAGCCCAACTAAACAAAGAGCCATCAGGTTGCCTCACAAATTCTTCAACCTCATCCCAGCGAAATGGTAAATCCATTCCTGAAACCAATCACATGATCAAAAGTCTAATACTCCAGAATTAGAAGAGATCATCCATTCTTACATGAAATTTGGAGAAAAATAGGCCACAAAATGATGCCTCTTATTTATTTATTTAGGGGGGGGGGGGAGTAAAAAAGTAGACCCAATAATAGAAGGGGAAACCAACTGTTATTACCAATGTGAGTAGGCTTCCTTATTTCCAAATCAGCTGCAGCTTTCCCCAAAATCTCCAAAGGTGCTGCCAACTAAAGAGGCACCGAAAATTAAATAATAGGAAACCAGATAAAATTGATACCCAAAATCCAAAATTTACCAAATGTAGTAGGGAACATAGAATTATAGAACAAACTCTTTTAATAAGGTATCCATTAATAACATGTTTGTATTATAAACAAACATCATAGTCAACATCTAAGCCTTATCCAAGTATATGGTTTCAGCTACACGAATCCTGTTTCACCATTCCATTCTGTTTAGTGCCATATCCATTGTTAAATTGTGAGCACTTAAATTATTTCTTACCACTTCAACCCGTGTCCTTTTTTATCTGCTCCTAGACCTTCTAGCCCCTTCAACTTGCAACAGATCGCTTCTTACAGGTGCTGTAGATGGTCTTCTTGCATGTGACCAAACCATCTTAGTCTACTTTTTCTCATTTTATCATCTATTGGAGCTACTCCTAGGTTCCTTTGAATGACTTCATTTCTGACCTATCCTTTCTAGTTTTTCCACTCCTCTCACCATATGCATATCTGCCACACCCATTTTTTGGACATGAATTTATATTGTGGAAAAATTACCAACAATGTTGTCAAGTAAATATAAAAAAGAAAAAAATGTTAATTCCATCTATGGGAAATTTATTGAAGATCTTGTCATTTTCTTCCTCTCTTGGGGGAAAAAGTAACAATCAAAGCAACCCAAAGCCTGGTAATAATGCACAAAAATGCACCTAGTAGCTTGGAGGAATGAAAGTTATTTCCTTTTTGACTTGTTCCATTAACCATTCATGCACACAATACCTTAGTTCAGGAGAAATTTAAAGTTGAGAGGAACCTTCGCAGAATTAAAAAAAAAAAAGAGATGCTCCAATTATTGCTATATTTTTTTCACCAAGACTGGCCACCTGAGTTTCTAATCTGTTAGAAGATAGTGTATAAGAAGAATCTCTCATATTCTAATTCTTGAACTTGATGAACTTGCTCCTTCAGTTAACCTCATGCCTGTCTCTAATTAAGAAACTTGTACGACTATACAGCTCTAACCTTTGTTAGAACTTCAACCAATGAACATTATACAAAGTCTTGTCATTGCATGCACCAAGATTGCACCACCAACCCAGACTACTTAGGTATTGACCAAGATTGATTTCACTGGTTAAGCAACTCAACGTTGACAACATAATATCAAGATTGATATAGCTCTCCTAGGTATGGTGAGAAAAAAAAAAAGCTCTAGGATAGAATACTGCACATGTTATCCTATGTTTTATTAATTTTTATTGAATTCAAAAAATTAATCAAAATTTGGTTTATTGTGAGTATTTAACTGTTTTGGCAATAAAGGTATATCCCCGAGAAAGATATATCCCCGCCTATGGTTTCTCAATCAGTTAGAGGTGATGAAAACCAGGACTCATCTTCATATACCCCCATACAAGCTTTTGACCGGTCAAGGATTTGAAGGTAATGGCGGTCGGGAAAATGACAACATTGAGCCAAATGAAGGAATGGTAGGTCAAGATAAGGAACATCCTTGGGTGATACAAGAGAACAGCCTAAATTCTAGTCCACTTGTTAGTGAAAGATGACTACGGTTGTTGCAAATGTTGATTTAGACGATGAACCTCAATCTGAGGAAGAAAGACTAGACATCATGGAATTGAAAAGGTTTAGTGCTATAGTTCAAAAACGACTTGATGCCAGGTGTGCTGCTACTACAAAACAACAAAGGAAGTTCAACTTGTTGTGGCAGGGACAGAGACTCAAAATGTAGAAGTTGACGCTCATTTTGGTGACATTGATCCTGGGAACATTGATGGACCAGACAAGAGTGAGGTAGAGGAAAACATTTTAGATCAAGGTTTCCTATCTGTTTGAAGGAAGAAGAGGGTTCACAAATCCAAAAAGGAACAAGATCTAAATAAGACTCTAGCTCCAACACATAAATCCTCAAGGCAAAATAAAGATTATCATCCACTATATTCTACTTGAAATTATATTTACTTGTATATCTTTTAGGAGTATGTGCTCTCTTGTACTGGTTTCTTTGAGGAGTAAGGTTTTTGCCCCCCCCCTCTTTCTCATTAATAAATTCCCTTTCTTTTCTTTCTAATAAAACAATGAAGCTTCTAAAGTGTGCATGCTTACCTTTCTTCCTTATAAGTGTTCTATCTTGTGTGGTAAGTGAAGGGATGGGAGATCCATCATATGGATGGCCGAACCATGCAGAGTGGCTGGGCTAAATTTCAAAAATTTCTTTCTCCCATCCGGGAGTCCTATTCCCTAATTTAGAAAAACTGCATTTTTCAAGGTTCGTTCTTGAAACAAATCGGACCAGATCTGAAACCAAAAGGAAACAAGTAAGGATATAGCAGTAACTCCCAACGTAGGTGTTCACTCCCAACTGTGATTCTTCAGCAAGAATCGTGTAGGGTTGTGTGAGCACGACTTCAAATTGTTTCTTCACCAAGAAACAATATCAAGAATAGTTCTTGATCACTCCAAGAGGTGGAGACCGAATTGGGTAGGGGCGGCAAGAACTGGAGGAGAATTCTGCAGATTGCTGAGAGACTCCAAATGGTGAATTCGCCCTCTATTTATAGCCTTCTTTGGATCAACTTCCTAATCCAATTAGGAAAGGGTTTCATGATCCAAATCTAATATTTGGATCTGGACTCTTAAATGGATAAGACTTATCTTATCCTTTAGCTAATCTTAATCAGATTATAAACCAGAATTTGCCCCTTTTTAATTAACTCACTTAAGCCCAGTTCGAAATGGGCTTTAGGCCCATTTAGTCACATTGCTCACTTTTCCTTTAAATGTTGGCTAGCTTGGCTCTCTTTGTATGGCATGGGACCCTAGCATTGATCTACACATCAGCCACATGGGTTCAGCCTAGCCTGTGTTACAAGGCCTGGCTGAATTCACTGCTAAACACAGTGAACCCCCTGAGTCCATCAATATGGGCTCTTACGGGCCCAACATTTACACTAAATGGTCATTGGGTCCAACCACCTTATGAAGGCCCAAGGACTGTGGGCAGATGCAAGATTAGCCCATTAGGTATAACCCTCAATGGTTTTACACTTAATCTCTCAGCCCATAATGATCAAACACTGTCCGACAAGAGAGAACCTCTCCCTCGGCTGCAAGGTACAGTGTTGCACTCTCTACTCACATGGATCCCGGGAATTAAAACATTTTGCAAACATTTTGTGAAATCATAATATATATGTATATCTCTATATAAATATATTTTGCAAAACAAATCTCAACAATTTGAAATCAACTGCTGATAGTTTAGGTTTCCATCAGAGAGAGTGCATTCCCCAATCATTCACTTTGTCCGACAAAGGGGTTGATCTTGTCACTATGATCACCCACTTAAGTGAATTCTCGGACTGCCCCAACATACCCAGGTTTTGACCCGGTCAAGGATCTCACTAATTGGCATATCAAAGACAGCCCACTCCGACACCTAGTGTAGTACCATAATCGAGTCTAGGGGTCAAGTGTAACATTCCAGTTTTGCTCATCTGTCTCCAAGGTCCAGGGAAATACTAGAATTTGGTCCAGTTTAGGGTTTCAAGAAAACCCACACTGCATGTGCCTCAGGTCTCACCCTGACAGCTGAGACAAGCCACCCCAACTCATTTGGCAGCACATCAGTGTCAGCCTTGGCAGGATAAATCTCCCCAGATCTATCCAACGGCTGTGACACAAAAACACACCAAAATAACATGAATCAAATATGTACTATTAGTCATTACAATAAATGCACCAGTACATCAGTCTCATAAGTGTCTAGTTTAAGGGTATTACACAGAAACACACCAAAATAACATGAATCAAATATGTACTATTAGTCATTTACAATAAATGCACCAGTACATCAATCTGATTAGAGCTAAGGACATACACTGTCTAACAAGCAGTGTTATATATATGGGCATTGACACAAGAATTAGAATCTGATACATGTTTGAGAGTCTGATTCAGTAAAACAAGAATATGTTGACATGTCTATGGAAAAAGTATATAATAAAAATAGTTCGCATTTTTTGAATTTTAACGCTATACCTACAAAAAAGGGTTTATGAAATGTTGGATTTGTTGCTGAGCTTGAAATGAAAAATGACATTTGTCTTGCATATTAGCTGTTTATTTATGTCAAATAAGCTAAGAGATAAAAAGAAAATATAATATAGAAGTGTGCCTCAAGAACCCATGGAATATTAGAAATCCATTTAGGTATGTAACAATGGTGGTAAACTGATGAATCAATTTTTAGTTTCTGCCCCTGCCTTGTCTCTCTTTTATTTTTATTTTTTGATCAATAACACTTTCATTAAATCATTGGTAAATCATCAATAAAGAATTTACAAGAGGAAGACAAACACACTTATCTTCCAAGAGC